CCATAGCAGAGAAGCAGCCTGAGGCTGGCCACGCCCACAGCAAGGGAGCTTCCTCCATACCAGCCAGGCAAGATACAGAGACCCAATCTACACGCAATTGCCCAACACAAGCCACTAGGGGTGGCAGTTGTCCCAGTAAAGAAAGGCCAGGAGCAAGTGGAAATAGTCTTGACTCTCCCAGCTGACAGACGAGTCAATAGCATACCACTGCACCTATCAACATGAAAAGGCAAAAAAATTTGATCCAGACAAGACTAATCCAGACAGCTTCGACATCTTCTATATCTTCCCCTGAGAAGGAACCTGGGGAGATGATTTAACTAATCTTCCTGAAAAAGAATTCAAAACAAAAGTCATAACCATGCTGATGGACTTGCAGAGAAATATGCAAGAACTAAGGAGGGAGAATACAGAAATAAAACAATCTCTGGAAGGACTTCAAAGCAGAATGGACGAGATGCAAGAGACCATTAATGGACTAGAAAACAGAGAACAGGAATGCAGAGAAGCTGATGCCGAGAGAGATAAAAGGATCTGCAGGAATGAAAGAATATTAAGAGAACTGTGTGACCAATCGAAACGGAACAATATCCACATTATAGGGGTACCAGAAGAAGAAGAGAGAGAAAAGGGATAGAAAGTGTCTTTGAAGAAATAATTGCTGAAAACTTCCTCAAACTAGGGGAGGAAATGGCCTCTCAGACCACAGAGGTACACAGAACTCCCATGACAAGGGATCCAAGGAGGGCAACACCAAGACACATAATAATAAAAATGGAATAGAATAGAGAGCCCAAAAATAAACCTAAGCATATGTATGGTCAATTAATATGTAATAACAGAAGCAAGAATATACAATAGAAAAAAGACAGTCTCTTCAATAAATGGTGGTAGGAAAACTGGACAGCTACATTCAAGTGAATGGATCACCATGTTATACAAGAATAAACTTAAAATGGATTAAAGACCTAAACATAGACCTGAAATCATAAAAGTACTAAAAGAAAATATAGGCAGGAATCTACTTAACATCAGCATTAGTAATTTTTTTTTTCTGAATATCTCTCCCCAGGCAAAGGAAGCAAAAGCAGAAGTAAGTGAGACTATATCAAACTAAAAAGCTTCTGCACAGAAATGGGAACCATGAACAAAGTGCAAAGGCAACCGATTATATGGGAATATGTATTTATAAATGATATATCTGATAAGGGGCTAACAGCCAAAATATATGAAGAACTCTTACAACATCAAAAAAAACCTCCAATTAACAAATGGGCAGAAGACCTAAGCAGACATTTTTCTAAAGACATACAAATGGCCAGCATGAAAAGATACTCAATATCCTCATGATGAGGTAATGCAAATCAAGACTACGATGAGATATCACCTCACACCAGTCAGAACGAATAGTATCAACAAGGCAAGAAATAACAAGTGTTGGTGAGGCTGTTGAGACAAGGGAACCTTCTTACACTACTAGTAGGACTGCAAATCAGTGTGGCCACTAAGAAAAGCAGTATGGAGGGTTCTTAAAATACTAAAAATTGAAATACCATATGACCTAGCAGTTCAACTTCTGGCAGTTTACTCACAGAAAACTGACTTGGAAAGTTGTATGTCCTCCTATTTTCACTGCTGCATCATTTACAATAGCCAAGATATGGAAGCGACCTAAATGTCTATTGATAGAAAAATGGATAAAGAAGATATGGCATATATATATATACAGACACAATGGAATTTTACTCAGCCATAAAAACTGAAATCTTGCCACTTGCAACAAAATGTATGGACCTAGAGGGTATGATGCTAACTGAAATAAGTCAGACAGAGAAAGACAAAACCATGATTTCACTTATATGTGGAATCTAAAAAAAATGAACAAAACAGAAATAGACTCATAAACACAAAGAAGAGAATGGTCATTGCCATGCAGGAGAAGGGTGGAGAGGTGAGTGAAATAGTTGAAGGGAATAAAGAGGCACAAAATTCCAACTATGGTAAAAATTAGTCACAAAGATAACAGTATAGCATAGGAACATAGTCAATAATGCAGTATCTTTGTATGTTGACAGACAGTAATAACACTTACTAGGGTGAGCAGTTGGTAATGTATATAATTATCAAGTCACTATGCTGTAAACCCCAAACCAATGTAACACTGTTTATTAATTATACTTCAATAAAAGAAAAAAAACTATAAACACTTGTTTCCTCCAGCTAAAACATTCTTCCACCTCCACACTGCTCATCACCTTTAGGTATTTCCTCAAATACCATCTTCATGATAAGGATCTCCCTTACCATCCTACTTACCCTGCAAACTCACTCTCCCTCCCCTCCATGCTTCTAGTTCCCCAAACCCTGCTTTACTTTTCCCTACAGTCCTTATTACAGCCATATATATCAGATCTTTGATTCACTTACTATGTATTATCTGTCTCCTCTTGCTGGTATGTAAGCTCCATGAAGATGGCAATTTTCTTCACTGTGGTTTATATAGCTGTATCCCCAGTACTTGGCACTTAAGTGTATACTAACTGTTCAATCAGTCAACTAATTAATAAATTAAAGTCCAATTCCAAATGAAGGAAGCTATTGTAGGTAAAGATATTTATTTTAGGAACCATTTTTTTTAATGGTTTTTTATTTTAGGAACCATTTAGTTTAATGGAATTTGAAACAAATAGGAAAGACAGCATCAACTGGGTATACCCTTCTTAAGTTGAAGAATCTTAGTTGAAGTACAGAATGGTTATAGGCAACAATAAGATTTGAACACAGATAAAACTAGCCCATAATAAAAGAAAACACACTGGGGCAAATATGCATATGGAGGTAAAAGCAGTAAAATCTTAGCTAAAGTCATCCAAGAGTATATTCTGCAACAATGAAGCAGGCCTTATAATTAAGGCAGTTCTAAGGTTTTTATGAACCAAAAGAAGAACACACACATAATACGATCAATATGTGTTTGCATTTGTGTGTATATGTACTTATCATACATGTAGATATGTCAACAATGTGTATTTTGCACTTTAATGATGTACTGTGAAATTAATTTTTAATGGCAGAATTTATTTTAGTTGTTTAAAAGTGGTATAATTAAGAACATGAAAAGATCTCTGACATGTTTCAGTTAAACTTAATTTTTGAGGGAAGAATTCTATAAATGTAATAGGAAATGTGGGATTCAAGATGTTAAAATAGTCTTAACAAATAATGACTGTCTACTGAACTTTACATGTGATAAATGCCATCACTGAACAATTTTCACTTTGGCTAAATTTGAAACAAAGATTATAAATGCCTGAATAGTGTTTCATGTTACATGTAGTTCCATCTTCATAACTGAAATACGTAATAAGCTGAGAGTAGTTTGCTGTGACGACAGTCTCACCTGATCATGCATTAATGCTGCAATGTGTGTGGTTTTGCCTCCAGGTGCTGCACACAAATCTAAAATCTTCTCACCAGGTTGAGGATCCAGAACATGAGTTACCACAGTAGATGGCAAATTCTATAATGAAAAAAAAAAATCATAAATTATTCTATATCTTTTTAAATTTTAGAATCAGGGACTGTAAAGAGACCTTTAGTGGTAATCCAATACAGCATCCTCTGCTGAGCACATTTTTTTGTAAATATCCTTGTGTCAGGAGATTCAGTTCCTGAGAGTATCTCATGGTCTCATAATACATTCAGACACATGTATGAACACCCATGAAACATTTCCCAGATCACCTCAGCAAAAAAAGCACAGTTATTTTGCAATTCAATGGTTCTCAATATTTTGGAGGCCAGAGATTTTTTAGAAATGAGAAAGCTCTGGATCTTTTCCCCAGAATATGTACAGAATTTTGCAATTTCAGATCCTTCACCATCTGAATAAAGGCTAGGCAAGAGGCATTTTAAAAAAAAGTATAACTTTCCCCAAGGATTTTTCTAACAGATATGCAATCCCACCTATTCTGAAACATCTGTAATCTCACAGAATGGACAAAGGCTACTGCTGCCAAACTCTTGTGCTTACTAAATATTTCTTTAGGGTAGAAGTTCTTCAGCCAGTCACCCTATGAACTACCTCATCTTTACTAGTTAACCAGTTGCTGAAAATCATTCAAGTATCAGTTTTCTTAAGTTATAAGCCAATTCAGGCTTGCAATATTATATTCAAAGCACCTAGCACAACACCAAACAACAAAAAAAGAAAGAAAAAGGGCTGGCTGGCCAGTATAGATTACTGAAGAAGAATCTGTATAATTACATATATTAGGTTATGTATCCTATATGTCACATCATCATAATGTGAAATTAGATAACAACAGACATTAATAAGTTTTTCTATTTGTTCACACCAGAAATAATCTCTGGAATTATAAAATGTCTTTTAATTAAACAGTGGGCAGAGTAGAAAGCAAGCAGCATCTGCACTTAGGTTATAGTTCAGATTACTAATGATATGACCTTGTTCAAGAACCCTGAGAGATCTAAACTTTGGTATCTTCATGTTATATTGGGAATAATGATAATACCACCACCTAACCAGCAGATTATAACAAATCAAATGAGTTAATGTACATGAAAGTATATAATAAACTGGAAAGGCAAAACAAATTACTTGTTATATCACAGTAATTGATAACCAAGGACAAAAATGTTAGGAGTAAACCATTTGAATCTTACTCAAAATTACAAATGGACCCTTATATGTCTATCAAATGCATGCATTATTTGGGGATTAATATTCTGAGATGGAAAACAATAAATACATTACAATCTATTTAAGTGCTCTTGGGCAAACGAGGACAGAAAAAGTAGTTAAAAACCTGTTGCAAGAGTGCTCAAAAAGTTGTTTCTTACTAGTTAAGCAAAGGTAGGATCAGAAAATAGAACAAAAACAAAAACAAAAAACCTCAATTTCCTGTAACTATCTGAAGGTTTCAATGTCACTTTTACAAATACTTACCTGTAAAAATAAGTAGCTGGGCAGTACATTGTCAAATGAAGGGCTGAGATATACTGGTTCTGTTATTTTTATGCCTATACCTCTGAAAAGTAGGAAACTGAATATTAGTGTGTATAGATTAGTTTATGCAAACTCCATTTCTAAGAACATATCCAAGTAGCATGTCAAACATAAGATGCTCTGTCTTTTTAAAACCCCTCTTACTCAACACCAAAATAAAGAGTATTCCTGTAGATTGTTTCTGACTTTTTTCCCTATAATAGGAGGCCATCAGAAGAATTAGAGGATAAAGTTACATAAATTTTTCATCTAGGCAAAAATGAGTTTTTTAGAGATGTGAACAGACTGAGAAGTGGAGAACACTGAGTCTTTATTTACTGACTCATTCTAATCTTTCTGGTAACAGATTCATGATCATTGTTAATAGCCTTTCAATTCAATAAAATTTTATAAATGCTTCAGTCTGTAAGGCACTATGCTAGGTATTTGTATGAAAAATAGAAATATACTAAAGAATGATGCTGATGCTAAGCAATGACAAACTTGCTACATTGCTCTTCCCTCATCTCTTTGAAGAAAAATTGCCCCGAACTCACACAATCCTCAAGATAATCTCCTTTGTCCCATTTTAGAAAGGACCAGAGCAGGAGGGGCCAGGACCCATGATAGCAGGGCACACAGTGATTCACTAAGACAAACATCGCAATCTGAGAGAAGCTCTGAAAAACCTCATCAAAGGGGAGAGAGAGCATACAAATGCTATTACAGAAAGCCAAGTATGGCCTAGTGTCTCTGGCCACACCACAGGGAGTAAGAAAAGGAGGAAATCAACAGTGTTCAAGGCTTAGAGGAACACATAAAAAGTGCAGTCTAATCATAAAGGCAAAGATAAGAATCAGGATTTAAACCAGGCCCAAGAGTACAAACAAAGAAAAGTCTAAGTAGAGAGAACCAGAAGAGAGTCCTCAGACACAGTACGCACATAAGTTCATAGCTTATGAGTTGACTGTGGCAGACAAGCATCTACTCAGATGGTCTCCACACTACTTGATGTAGGCAAATGGGCTAATTTTACTCACTACACTACTGACATAAAATATGTGGGTTTTTTTTTCTCAGAACAACCAATTCTCCAACTGTCCAGATATACCAAATGAGTGTCCTACAATTCTATTCAATTCTAACACCACTTGGGGTTATTGTCAGATCCCAAAGGTTCAAGGGCTGGGCCCAACAAGACTGGCCCATACCAGATGCAAGCTCAACCTGGATTAAAATCTTAAACATAAGGCCTGAAGCCATAAAACCACTACCTCACCAGTTCCAATTCTGGGTATTTATCCAAAGGAAATGGAGCCACTAATTGGAAAAGACAAATGCATTCCTTTGCTTATTGCAGCATTATTTACAACAGCCATGATATGGAATCAACCTAAGTGTCCATCGATAGATGACTGGATAAAGAAGATGTGGTACATACACACAACAGAATATTACTCAGTCATAAAACAGAATGAAATTCTGCCATTTGCAACAACATGGAAGGACCTACAGAGTATTATGCTAAGTGAAATAAATCAGAAATACAAATATCATATGATTTCACTCATATGTGGAACCTAAATAACAAAACAAAACAGACTAATTGGAAGAGAGAACTGGTGGCTGCCACAAGAGAAAGGGATGGTGGGAAGGGATGAAAGAAGTGAAGGGGGTTGAGGAGTATATACTTCCAGTTTAAAATAAATAACTCATGGGGACATAATGTACAACATAGAGAATATGGTCAATAATATTGTAACAAGTCTGTATGGTGACAGATGGTAACTACACATTGTGGCGACCATTTTATAATGCATATAAATATTGTATCACTATGTTGTACACCTGAAACTAATACAGTATTTGTGTATCAATTTTTTCAAATAAATAAACAAAGCCAGTAACAAAAAAAAAAGAAAAAAGAAAAACAGCATGAAGAACACTGTGCTAATAATGAAGTAAAGGAGGAAGTCAAAATATCAGTTTCCTATTACAGACAGATGTTTATCTACAAAGATACACAGCAGATATATGCTACATCTTCATATTCCTAAAGCCTCCTAAGGGTAATAAAATCGTTATTTTTGGCCATTTGGAAAGTACTGCTATTTAGAACTAGGGAATCCAATAAGCTATGTCTTCAGAAGAATTATTTTCAATTATAATTCCAATTGCTGCAACATGAAACACTGTTCCAAGAATCAGGGATGTGGTCCAGTCTGGATGGATAAACACACAGCTTTCAGCATGCCTACAATGGTCAACCTTGGAGTGATGGAGCTCTCTACAGAACTCCTTAAATAACCTGAAATCCTAAACAGATTAAGAAACTGGATTATAGACAGATTTATTTAAAGCTGATTTATAAAACTGAATGTATTTTCATTTGGTTTGAGTAAATTCAAATATTAATTTTTCACCACAAATATTCATGAGTATTGGCTTTCTAGTAAAATTTATTTTTAATCAAGAAATGTTTAATTTATATTAAAATTATAAGTTTTTCCTTTCTCAAAATCAAACTCTTAAAAATGATCTCAATAGGCCATCTAATTCATTCTTCATCAAGTATTATTCTCTAAAGATGCAAAAATTTTCAAATTAGTGAAATGTAAAAGATAAAATAAAATTATTTGGCAATTATTGTGTGACTAGTTACTTACATATGTAGGCTATTCAATCAAGCATTTTCTCTTGTATTTAAAACATCTTTTCCAAGAAACATGAAAATATGGGTTAAGCAATTATTTTCCATTAGAACTCACACCAAAAGTTATTCATAGAATGCAATCAGATATATTTTACATTGTTTTTGAGCCAGAAAAAGGATGCTTATTTCTCCCAAACAAAACTTGATGACATTACTTCAGTTCAGGCAGCCCACTGAAGATTTGTTTGCGGCTTAGTTCAGAAATCCCATTTCCAAGAAACACTTTTGTTCCATCAAATTCTTTGGCTCCTTTCTTACATTTGCCTTTAATATCAGAGTATACGGAAATAACATCTCCAGCTTTCATAACTAGAGGAAGAAAATCAGATTATAGTAATCTCTCTTTTTGTACAAGACAAATGAAAATTCTTTAAACTAGACTGGGGATATCTGGGGCATCAATCTTGCTCATGACTGGGTCTAAATTGGCTCATTATCTCAATATAATCCCTATTAAGAAACACAACTTTTACTTTTAAATGTTCCCTGAAGAATTTTTTTCCTAGGAAAACAAAGAACTAAAAAAGTCTTTAAAACACCCTAAGTCTAGCTGAGCAGGAAAGAAAGGATACTTTCTATTTAAATTATTTTCCCCAAACCTAACATTACCTAAAAGACTTCATATAAATCTTGATGTGTTTCACTCAATCCACAAAGTTTTAAATATCCTTCAAAAGGATTCCTTGAAAACGCACAAAGAAGTCTTTCTAAATCCCTTAACTCAGATGCTATTTTTTTATAGGTTTCCTAATATAGCAATTAAAGCAGAGATTTTTAATGACAAGCACATATATTCATTCACATGTGTGGATGTGTATATATATGAATACATATACGTGTAAGTGTGTATATACTCAGAACACCTTGAAACTGCACAGGGTACAGAGTTGTTTTATGTGGTTGATTAAATCTAACTTCTGTAGTCATTTCATTAAATTATTTTCCATAACAAATCCCACTGACAGTAATAATGGAAAATTGTATTCCACTTCCAAAAAAATGTTTTAAGACCTAACTAATTGTAAATTTGTTTAGCCATTATCCTGACAATAGTAGTAAGTAACCTATCAGCTACTGCTAGAAAGACTATTCAAATTAAACAGATCACAGGTCAATGAACTTTTTGTGTTAAAGGCAAATATTGTAGGCTTTCTGAGCAAAAATAAGGTCTCTTGTCATACTTTTTTTTTTTAAACAGCCTTTTAAAAATGGGAAGACTATTCTTAACTTGTAGGACATATAAAAACAGACATGGCCCAGACTTAGTCAGTGAGCAATAATTCCCCAGACCCTTCTACAGGTCAAATTATTTCACAAACAAAAAAACTGAGACCCGGGGACTAAATAACTTCCCAATAAACTCAAACCCATGTCTCTTGATTTCAAGTCCAATAAATTAGCACTGAACCATAGTGACTAACTTACTAAGCATACAGAATATGCCAACAATTGGGTGAATAAACTAAGAATACTGAGTTTCATTCCAATATTAAGATTCCAGGTCCTGAATATTATCCTCACAAATGACAGCAGCAGTCTAAAGTTCGAGGACCATAGAGTTAAGAACACAAAATGAAATTTCACTGACATCTTATACTCTTACCAATCAGTAATGGTTATTTAAATAATTATCATCAGACACACCCTTACATGGAAAATAATTGGCAGAAAACCTTATATGGATGCCTAATTTGTTAGTCCATATCAGATAAATCCCTCACTATTTTAAACATAAAATTCGTAAAGTACCTGATGAAAGTAAATTTGAAATGCATTTAATTTGAGTGATAATTTAATGAATTTCACATTTGATAATGTACATACATTTTAGAGAATCTTTACTTTACAGATAAATCTAAGAATCACACTTACATTTGGAAGCTGACACAATTCCTGGAACATAGACATGGGCTCCTCTTAACACTGCATTGCCGCACAGGGCTCCAACAATGGCTTCACACTGTTGTTTTTTTATATTTTTCCTACGGATGTAAAAGCAGAAGAAATTTCACAGAGTGATATACCTCCAATGCCAACCGACCTTTTCAATGTTTCAGTCTAAACTCTAACTAAATAACCTCTTTAACTCTTGTTTATCCCAAGATAATGCCACTAATGAATGAGAAAAAAGAAAGAGGATAAAAAGACAACAGCTAAAAAAAAAAATGACTGGAAACAAAAGCAAAAATGAACAAATGTAATATCAAACTAAAAAGCTTCTATACAGTTTTTCGAAAGATTAAAGATGGCAGCATGAGAGGTGAGACAGAAGCTTCCTTCTAAAACCGCATATAATATAAAAATATAATTAATACAACTAATCCTGAAAGCGCAACAGGAAAGAGGACTGTGCCAGACTGAATATGCCTGGAGAAAAGAGCAGACCTCACAGAACAGGGTAACGTACCAAAGCTGTGGCCCGGCAGGACCCAAGCCTTTTCCCTACCCCAGCTCACCTGTGGGAGGAAGAGAAACAGAGCAGGGAAGGAGTGGAGGCCTGGGACTGCTGAATACCTAGCTCCGGAGATCTGCACTAGGAGCACAAATCCACATTTCATGGTGCTTTCATGATACTCTCGTGATTAGGGGGTTGGAAAGCTAGGACAGGCAGAATTCCTGGAGAGACTGAGATTCCAGCTGCTTGTGGAAAGTAGGGATCTATATCCAGCTGCTCTGGGACAAAAGAAAGGCGGGCAGTCTGAGAGACTTCCTAACAAGGAAGCCCTTAGCAAGATGGCTGCTAGAGGGGCAAGGATTGGACAGAGCTTACTGCT